TACATGATGTAGTCCATTTCACTTGGAAGACAAGAAAGCGTGTACTAAAAAGTATGCTTACCAGCCCTCTATGCAACGTAGCCCTGAGAAAAGTTGCATCCCTGTTCATGTTATAAGGACTCAAGGTGCGAACGAAGTTATTGCGTCGAATATTAACAACCTTATACATCAATTTTGACAATTAAAAGTTCCACCAATATGAATAAGAGGCACTTGAATTATGAATAAGGGGCACTTGAATTATGAATAAGGGGCACTTGATATATAAATAAGGGGCACTTGAATTCACTAGACGCTTAAATTGACGATTTACGCTTATGTTTACTTTCACTTCATCCATACTAAGGGACTTGTAAAGCCATCGCTTTGTTACCTGTAATATATCATTGTTCATTGTTCCTGTAGGCTGCATGGCAGGCGCTGATTTGGTATCCAATTTTGTGCACATATAGCAACTGCTTCCGAGCGTTGTTTCTCTGTATACTCTGAAGTTGGTCCGTTACTACCTGGCCTCCATGGCACTTGTATAACACTGATAATAGGCGTAGTAGTAGCAGTTTGCAATCTACCACACTACCACCCCACTAAATTGATCTCTACCGCTGCCATTTCCTGTAGTACATTTGATTTTCGTGCTCGCTCAATCTATGAGATGGTTTCCTCTTCCATTTCGCGCAACTCCCACAGTTCCTTTCATGTACGTGCTGTGAATCTCCTTGTCGGGCGATTATATGCGTGGAGTCCCGTCGGTTGACCCCGTGGTACGGTACCTTCAAATTTGGTAGGAGTTTCCTTTTCTCTAGGGTCACAGGTGGGAGCCCGCTGATAATCCCTGTATTTCGCTTTTGAACCGACTGGAAACTCGCCTCCCCCGGCTTCCCGTTGTTGTTTTACGACTTCTCCGAGTCTGTGTAGCTTGTAAGTTATGGTCAACTCCCTTTCTGTTGTCCTGTACTTCTATGGGCGGTATTCGACAGGTCCGCCAAACCCCAGTTGTTAGCTTCACTGGTAGTCGGGTTGGCCGACCGTAAATCCACTGGAACAGCTATTTCTTTATATAGACTGCTTTAGATAATCGATGTTAAAGCAGTGGTACGCTTCCTCCCAGTCTCCTCCGTTTGCTGTCAGCCATTCTTTTGATAATGAATTGACCCGCTTCGTCAAGCCATTTGTCTGTGGGTAGTAAGAGGTTGTTGGCAGTCTCTTAATGCCGGGTTTCTTTAAGCAGACCAGGTACCCCTTGTTCCCGATACATGGACCCTAGTCAGTTAATGTGTATTTTGGGATTGCGTGAGCCGCGATTATAGGAATACAGCTCGGCACACTTACAGAACTCATCCTAGTTTCGAAACCCGGAGCAATTACGTAATCCAGCGCAACCAGTAACATGCTTGTCCGTGAGGACAAATTGACTCTCCAACAACATATGGCCTGCAAACTTGTCAAGAACAAAAAGCTCCTATACAATCATGTTGACACCATCCGGAAGACGAAGTCTGCTATCCCCCCCCCCCACTTAACACGCTAATCGGGGTGGAACAGAGTGCAAAAGTGGTAGCCAACGACTTACAAATGCAGTATGCCCCAACCATCCAAAGAGACGGCAGCCAGTGTTACATACCCACATCCTTAGCCCCAACTTCAACACTCACTAACATCGATCTTACTGCCACAGCTGTGTTGAAGAAACTGCTCTCTTTACACACTTACAGCTCTTCAGACATCGACTATATTCACCAAATAGCACTGAACGTAGCAGTGTAACCTTGTCAGGTTACAAATGCTGGAGCCACTAAGGGGCGATGTTGCACACCCATGGGCGAAAGACACTGTCTCCTTTTACAAGGTGTATACTGACCGCAGGACATGTAAGCGCTTGACCCAGATCCAACATGAGTGTTGGAATGGCATGATACTGTGTAAAGTAACGGTACACTACATTGTGCTCTCTATTATAGGTGTCCGCGTACATGACGGCGATCACGCAGTATTTGGTATACCATTATGAGGTCTCCCCGTGGCGTCCACTGAGCAATCAGAGTCTCTGCAGTTGTTCGAATGCGGGAGGTGCCGCAAGCCCTTAGCAATCTTCGTTGCCCGGCATCGTTTGAGCGCAGCGAGGTCGCGCTTTAACCGGTGTTGCCAATCCTGGGTAGCTTATTAGACACAGAATGTACGCAGGCGTTCAGCACCCGGGAAAAGATGGAGAAATCTACACTGTCGAGTACCTTTCACAAGAGATTAACATACCGGTTGCATCTTGTTATATCGACATGTAACTGTCTTGAACAACAGCGCATAGTTAAAATTTGATGATAGGTTTCTTATTCCCGGAATATCTAATCAATTAGGATTAACATGGTTTTCTACATGCGTGTTTCAATGCGAATTTGCAAATGAACGTTCATAAACACACAACAATGACTGCTGATGCTGACATTTGCATTGTAAGCATATGTCTCCATATAGGTAAACCATTTCACCAAGTTCTAATCGTTAGATTGCGGATCGTGTTACCATTGGTTGACATCGTGTGATTGAACTTATATGCACTATGAATTGGGAGTCAGCATTCTGAACCGACAACCCGACTATGGCTGCCGGTGAATTTGTCAACAACATTGCTGCATGTACTAATGTACTGGCACCTGTGGTAAAGAGCCGCACGTATAGATAATGCGACAAATATACCCAACTGAAAAAGGCTAAAGGCAAACTGAAGAAACTTAGGGCATCTTATCACAGGAGCAACATTTTCGATACGCAACCATATATACATTAAGCCGAAGTAAGGTATGGGACCTGTTTTCCAGCTTATGAATGAACACACTGCGTAAGAGATAGCTATGGTTAGCTACCTGCGCTAGAACAATGTGCGCAATCACGGCTGATGTCTACGCCAACGCTTCGTGATCAAATGAATTTAATGTAACCATTCAAGAACATAGGTGGGAAACGGCGTGGAGTCTCTTCGTTAGGTTATTACGCTGATCGATCCAATAAGGTTTTGGCACGCGGAGCAATCGAGTATGTGGGGGGGGTGGGGGACAACGGAACTGGTAGGTAGCTTATGACCCTTTGCAACCATGTTAGGGATGTATTCTATCCACAAAACTGTCTTTAACGCTGTAGTCTGCTAGTTCCCTTAGGATAGGTTGGATTCCATTGGTCAGGCATTTGACAACTTCTGAGACGGTGCGCCTACCATTGAAACAGTCGGTGGTAAGGGGATATCTTCGTTGTGGATTTTCGGCAGTCCTTACAAATAAGGAAGCCGAGATGCTCGAGTGACCGGCTGTGTCAAAGTTTTTGTGTGATTCCATCCCACCGTCGTTAGGGTCTTTAGTTCACGAACGTTCGATTTCATAACATGTTCGGTTTTATCGTTATCTGTCACATAAAAACGAATCGACTAGTGCGCGAGAAAATTTTGCATTTTCTGGATGTAGCCATGTTTCTGCATTATGACGACACCTAATCCCATATCTTGTCTTAGTATTACAACCTTTTCATTGCGTAGCTGTTACCTTAACGACTCGCAATGATCCTTCGTCATGGTACGTCACTTCTCGGTGTCACTGGCGCATGACTGTTTGGGGAAGCAGCCTCATCGGTAAACAGAATTGAATGGATGTCCATGACACTAAAAACCTGCGGCAAAAATGAGGTCTCTTCTCCGAATCACATGGGTTTAAAACCTGCACTTCACGGGCGCTATACTTCCGGAATTACCTTTCCTTCAAAGCCCTATGGACAGCATATCTGGTGGTGTTGCAATGCTGGGCGAGTTTGCGAATGCTTAGATCGCAGCTTCTGGACACCACACAAATAACCACACAAGCGAAAAAGTTATCCGTGGTGATGTGAGGCCGCCACGTCTTTTGGCGACGTACACGCTCCCAGTTTTCTCAAATTTTCTCACCAGCCTAGGAACATACTGTCCGTTGATGGGCCACTTTGCACTGTGGATAGTGTCAACTACTTTGCCACTCGAGGGCGTAGTAACATTATCCCTGTTACTGAGGGCAGCATAGGCGCGTGAAGGCCAAACGATCGGTAAAGAGCACACCAGCTTTCGATGCAAACTAATATGCACTTGGGATCTTGACGTGATTGTATTGAAAGTGACCACAATGAAACAAATAAGAGGAGCACTGGGAAGAACGTTTGCACAAGTGCGACACATGACGCAAATGTGTTGTTGATCATACAGCGTAACATTAAAATATTCAAAACGCAGCTTATCCGGATAATTTGTCAATCATATTTGGTATCCAAAATACGACGGTAGTGAAAATGCGGCCCCGTGTCACGTGCCGCCTTGGACGGACCGCCTACGCGCCCCCATACTGCGTCTCTGCAAAGGAAACAACTAAACGTATTCAAAGCGGATTAGTCATCTCTTCGTCTATATAATGCAACCCCCTTTGTTGGGAGTCCAGCAACGACACCATAGCTCAATCATCGATAGTTGCTCATCCAAACTGAAACATAGTGCACTGAAAACCGAAGCGCTTACACCGGAGCTACATCAGCAGATTAACAACGATGTAGCTGACGTTCCTGATGAAAAGCGCTTGGTTGAATGTGCCAGTAAAGCATGTGCAATTTTAGTCCATAGCAAGTAAAGACGTAAGGTAACCGCTCATTTTCCCAAGAACAACACTGGAACTAAGTTTCGACAGATCACGCGCCTAATGTAATATGTGTCATGGAGAGAGTACCCAGGGCTTCCCTATCCGGGCGTACATTGGGTCGTCAAAGACCCAGGGGGTTGAAAGGCGAAGCAGATACTTGGTAGGTGGCTGGCCCGTTTCATATCAACCACCTACTAGGAGTCCGTGATTAGCTGCACGGTGTAGTCACAGCTGGCGACGGGAACGGAGCCTGAGCTGTGTGGATGGATGACGATAACGCGCACGAGATATGATTACAACAGATGTCCGGCTATAACCACATCCTTTACCCACGTAGAATTGGGATGGAGCGAAATAGCAACTTCCACTTGCAAATGGCATATAAACGCACGGATTGGTTTGCGTCATACGGAGTCGCTCATCCCTGTGCAGATGTTACAACCCGACGAGTAAATTTGATTCGCCGAAGCGAGTACATTTTATTTGCATCTTCAAAGCATTCTCTCACCGCAACCCTGTGGTGTGTTCGAATACAGTCCACAACTGACGAATGCCCATCGGGAAATATCTCCCTAGCGAGCGTGATCAAGGTTAGTTCTGCTTGTCCTACATACTCTGCGTTTCCGCTTACACCGTCCAGCCGCCTGCGTTGGTGCAATTGGTTAAGCAATCCGGCAAACGGCCACACACAATACCCATGTACGTCAAGTCTGCATAGTTTAATTTTCTTATTTATTATGCCCTTATCAAATTCCTTATCCACTGGCTCTCCAAACACAATCAACGACAGGCGGTAGAACGTAATTGTTGGTTACACAACCGCGTTAGAGTGGCATCTGCTTGTCAAGCTCCCACATGATTGTTCTACAACGCGGCAACTACAATTGGTATGCGACGCGACCACACGCACCAAGTTACCGGAAATCCACAATGTTCCCCCGATTAGAGAACTAGCTATTTCTAGCAGAGTATAAAGTTCACTCTGACCCGTCATCATAATAATGTAAGAACAACACTCGCTTAGAACAGGTAGTTTACTGCCAACAGAATGTTTTACAGATCGGCCAAATGGACAACACGTCCATAATTCTTACTGACATGTTGAACCATTTGTTTGCAGTGCTGCTGCGTCACTAAAGCCCGTGCTTCAGACACCGCGTGCTCCAAAAACCGAATGCGCCACTCGCTTTTATTCATAATGCCTTCAGGATCCCCCAGGAGCATCTCGGAGTACCGTCCCTTCATTGCCTGTTTTACATGAGCCTTTATTATGCTCCATATGCCCTCGATGGGATTGAGAGCTGGTGAGTATGGCGCAAGGCGTAGAAGTCTCCCAGAGCGGTACGGTTCCTCCAGAAAAACGTGCTCCAGGTGCGTGTGACAGGGCGCGTTGTCACAAATCAAAATACACCTTTCCACAAATCCTGTTCCGTTGGTATCAAGCACTCGTCGCAGCCACTGAGCGCACCTTTGCTTGTTGTAACTTCCTCTCAGAACCGAACACGCTATCAAGCCGTTGTTTGTCATGGCGCCGACAAGATGAACATTCGGTCCCCGGCTGTTCGCCACTGTACACTGCGCTCGACTGCCACGTCGTGAGCGGCCACGAGTGCGGGAGCAAAATAAGTTGAAGTTGGTCTCATCAATCCACACCGGTTGCCTTCCTTCCACCTCGTAATCCATGAGCTGCAAAACAAATGATCTGCGTCGTTTTTTGTTCTCCAGCGTGTTCATGGACTCCGGAATGGTGTGCAATTTCTTCATTGTTATAAGTCTACCATCCAAGTATCGTGAGACAGTGCTGGTACTTACTGAAACTTCGAACTCCGCCTTCAACCGCAAACGAAGGAGTTCAAGGGTAACGGTAGGCTCTGCAGAAACCCACTCAACCAGACAGTCGACGTGGCTTTCTCCCAGTGCTTTGCGACGAACTCCCCCGTGCTGTCCCACCGTTTCCGTCGATTCGTACGCCCGGATCCAGTTGCGGCAAGTTTTCACGTTCACCTTCAGTATGCAAGCGACCTGCTTCCAATCGTCCCCTTCCTCGTACGCTTTCAGTACGACGTTCTTCACCTCCCTCGAGTGCTGAACATACGAGCCAACCATTGCGTTTAGGTGAACTGTACATTCAAAAGCATACGGCAAACTTATTTGGCTGTGGCTCGTTATACCAAACCAATCGTCATTCAAATCCTTACTCTCGTTCTAATTGGTGGGAATCGCTTCCTAGGACAGCGAAAGATAGGCCAACCTGATGTATCGGCCAGCGACACTGTCCCTGGTAGTACCTGAAGCGTCCCACATACACCCCTATGACTTAGTGCGTCTGAGGTCCAATTGGCGGAAGGCGACGGGCTATACACGCACACCTACACACCTGCACAAGTGAGTGGGGTACGCACGGAACAAATTAATTGAGTAGACTCATGTTGAATGCCCCCTCGGATTATTCCTGTTGCCCAAGTGGACAACTTGTCCGGGAAATGGTATAGAACGCCACAACGTCATAGAATCCGAACAACACGGTTTCCCCCAGCACCTACTGATTGCACACAGTAGTTAGACGGAAGCGGCTGATGCAAGCGGAGGGACAGACATCATGTATCTCGACTTCCAAAAAGCCGTCGACCAACTGGACCATCGTATTCTGCTTCACAGGCTCTAAAGCTATGGGAATGGGGATCCGGCCCTTGGGTGGAGCAGGAACTTCCTGCAGGATCGGCAACTTCGGGTCATAGATCAAAGTGCGCTGTCCAATGTGTAGTTCAACAAGGATCAGTACTGGGGCCGCATCGGTTTCTCCTGTTCATTAACGAGCTTACGCGTTTAATTGATTCAGGTTTCTTGCTGTTCGCTGACAATATTCTAGATCAGATGGACGATCGCAAACCCAGGAGATCACGATGCACATCAGCGAGACCTGAACAGCGCTTATGAGCGGTCACTCCACAACCTGCTCCAGTTCAAATCGGGGAAGTGTAAGGTGGTTCACAGTCGCCACCATGAACCCTACTTCGATGTACCCACGGACGTCGCGGATTTTTGGAGTGCTGTGTTGGATTCCACCTTTTCTTCAGGATAACTCTGTTATACGTTATTTTTCTGTGTAAAGTGCACGCCAATATATTTCTTTTGATATATTCTGCAATCTGTGCACATTTGGTGGACGTTCGCGGGCTAACATCTGGGTTCTCATTGGTTGGCCCAATTGTCGTGTGTATGTGCCATCTTGGATTTGTTTTGCGGTAATCAGCCATCATAACCACCACATCGGTAACTCGATATGAAGAATTCTGTGCTAATCGAACTTATGCTAAGGTGGTGAATTGAGGGTTGACTTGTACAATTTGCTAAGACCGGTACCATTCGAAATGCGTCAAAGTCTGCAGAACCGACATAATGCAACACAATAAACCGGGTTCACTGCAAATCCAAGATAAATCCATAAGAAATGATGGCAAATGGGATGTTGTTAAAATTCGTGTATCCTGCTGGTGTACATATAGAGGAGGTGAAAAACGTGGAACGAACTCCGTGATTTGACCACCAATGAAATCGTATACAGACACCTGTGTTTATCCATGGGTAAAGCGTCATTTAAGATGGTGCGGCGAAATGAGTGCACGGTCAAATCGGGCTTTGAACTCTGCCGACATAGGAGCACATATGACGGATTTCGGTAGGGCATTCCAAGTTCTGCAAACGCGTACGGCAGTGAAATTCCGACGGCACTCAAAGCGACTGTGCTGCTCTGTCAATTTGGGGTGGTGATCTCTCAAACTGCTGTTGTGACTAAGCTCTAGTAAGTAGCGGAACGCGTGGTTGAGATCTCTCAAACTTTGGCAAGTCAGAACGAGGTCCCCGCGCATTCGCCGATACCGTCCGCTGAAGACCCCGAGCACTTGCAGTCTACGTTCTTATGACAGATTATACAGACCCTTGACATTCTTGGTTGCCCGGCGTTGAGGCATATCCAAGGCGGTGAGATCTCTCCTCAGACATGGCTGCCAGAACCGTATTGCGTAGTTCAAATGTGGCCGTATGTATGAGTCGAGCATTTGTGGAAAAACCAAAGGGTCGAATCGTCCGACTGCACGCTTCAGGAGGCCCACATGTTGGATGCCCCTCCTAGGCGCCGTTTCAGCCAGATGCAAACATCCAACATCGAGTTGGACTAAAACACCCAGGTCCCTCTTGTCAAAAGACGTTTGAAGTTCTTGGTTGCCGAGTTTGTAGCAGTGTACGAATCTGTGCCGTAGCTGCAGCACTCTACATTTGTCTACATTGAATCGAAGTAGATTCTAGATTGACCGCGTGTATACCCTATCGAGATCGGCTGGAAGTACGGTGATATCTTGTTGTGTATTTCTCGCCCTTCACAACTTGAGGTCCTTGGCATAAAGAAGGCAGTTTGAGCTTATGATGCACGTGACATCGTTAATATACGTTAAACATAATCGTGGTCTTAGTACCGATTGCTGTGGTACTCGGCATTCAAATCGGATAGGATCTGACAGCGATTCACGCACATGCACTTCCAGGCACCGGTGCAGAAGAAAGCTTCTCACGTATCCTTGGAGACGATCACCAATTTGAAACAAATGATAATATCCGGAGCTGGGGATGTGGATGCAAATTTTGAGCTGTTCTCCAAGCTGAATGATTATTTTGCAGATGTTTCCTTGTCAGAAAGGTCAACATTCTCAATGCCGCTTTGGGGGCCTGGTTCGTCGTACCTCGTAAACGACTTTAATGTCCAATTGGTTATTGGTTCAGTACTGCTTTGAATGCCAGGCTTCAGTGAACTCATGTGCTTGCCAGCTTTTGACCCTTCTCAGGATGGTGGCGTGCTCCAGGTCGAACTGATGGTACTCGGCATCCATATGCCGATAGGAAAGTTCTGGAGTTTGGAGGGCAGAAGTTTATTGTCTAACCGTTTGAACGCATTGAGAATTCGAGAAAGACTACATCAGCTCCTGCGCCAGAGTCTATTGCTTTAGTCCAAATGGATCGTGCTTTTAGTCGATTTGTAGTGCACCATCAATTTCGTCGGAAGCCATGCTGTCCCGGTGCGAGGTCGTTAAATGCTTCCAAGTAGGCAGTTAGCGAACCAGAAATAATAGCTTCCATGATCTTTGAAAAAACCGGTAGTAAAATTATGGGACGGTAGTTGGCTGGATTGAAACGAATACCACCCTTGTGATTTGGAGTAGTCATCCCGTGTTTCCACAAGTCAGGTACGTGCATTTCTTCAAAACAGTGTTGGAAGAATCGAGCCAAATGCTCAGCCACACTCTCTCCTACTGCCGCTAGCGATTTCGTGTGTATATCATCAACTCCAGGAGAGCTACGCTTTTGCATACCCAACAGCTTATTTAGTACCACTTCTGCTGTGAAGAATTGTGTGAGTGAGTTTTGGGGGTAAAACAACCGTCGTCATAGGGTTATGTGACCAGTGATTGCACTGAAATTTTGCAGCTTATTGTCGGCGCAGGGTATTCGCTGCCTCCTTCGGTGACCGTGGGAGTTCGTCTACTGTTTGAAAATGAGGAATTCCCCGTTTCACCTGACCTAGACTGTTGACATGTTGATACAGACGTATGTGGTTTGAGGTCATACGCGCTGTCATCTTTGCTGATACGCTATTTTATCCTCGCGAACAAGCTTAGTACAGTGATTACGTTGGGTCGCGTAGGCCTTCCAGTTCTCTATGCTCGGTGAGAGTTTGTAGAAATGACAGGCTGTTTCGCACCGCTATACAATTTCATGTCCTCCTTCACAGAAAACGATGATTGATGGAATCAATCATCGCAGATGCGCTGCTGCAATACCTGGAAATTCCCAACTTAATAGTCCCAGAGAAACATGGCTTTCGTCAAAAGCATTCGTGTAATACTAACCTATTAATTGCACGTAATAGCTGGACTGAAGCTGTTGATGCTGGAGTGGGAGTCGATGTCATCTACCTGGGCTTTTCAAAAGCGTTTGCTCGCTTAGACCATCGCATTCTCCCTCAGAAGCTTCGGAATTACGGAATTGGCGACCCAATCCTGAGTTGGATTAGCAATTTTCTACAAGAACGACGGCTAGTGGTGAGAGTCCGAGAATCATTGTCTGATGAAATGGATGTGGCATGTGGAGTACCACAAGGCTCGGTTCTTGGACCTCGTCTATTCTTGGTGTTCATTAACGATTTGGCGAGATCAATTGCTCTCGATTTCCTATTTTTCGCTGATGATATAAAGATATGGCGAAGGATCAGAGGGCCGGGCAACCACGGACGGCTCCAGTGCGATCTTAACACAGTGTCGAACTGGTCAGTTCAAAACGCGCTACCATTCAACGTAGACAAATGTCGCGTTGTACAATTACGCCATAAACATAACTACACGTATTTACTTTGGACAAACGGATTGCAGACCAGCTCCCAGGAACGTGACCTTGGTGTGCTCGTACAGAGCGACCTCAACTGTTCAAAACAGGCTGAGGTAACTGCGAAAAGAGGCAACCAGCATGTCGGCATGCTGCGAAGGGCATTCGGGAGATTTGATCCATCAATCTTAACAATGATGCACAATTCCTACGTGCGCCCGCATGTTGAATACGCTATCCAAGCTTAGCAACCTTGGTTGAAGCGCGACCTAGAAGCGATAGAGGCACCACAACGAAGAGCAACAAAGAATGTAAAGGGCCTGCGCTATCACTCTTACCACCGAATGATGAGATTGCTGGGAATTTTCAGCGGACGCTATCGAAGGCCGCGCGGTGATCTATTAACTTATCAGATACTGAGTGATCCCAACCACGGATGTCGCCATTTGCTGAAACTTAGCCACAACACGCAGCTCAGAGGTAACTGCTTAAAATGGAAGGAACAATATAGCCGTTTAGAGTGTCGACGGAATTACTTTTCCCTTCGGGTTTGCCAACCCTGCAACGCACTCCCAGACTCAGTTGTATCCTCTCCTACCTTGGACATTTTCAAAAAACGATTAGATGTTGCTCTCAGCTCCCAGCATTTTGTTACCTTAACTCCTCTATTATGGATTACTTCAAGCATGCTTTTCAACAGGAGTTATGTATCAACTGGACCTAAGTGAGCGACCATATTTTGCTTTTCTCACTCCTTACCTCAACGATCACTGCACCCCAGTGCCTTTCTGAACGTTTACGCTCTATAATTGTTTTAAAATTTTACACTGATGTTAATTATCAAAGTATTCATCTCGGCAGACGTTCGGTAGATGACCCAGACATATTTTGATTTCATCATATTCACCTCAACCATCCTACGGGAAGTGTCAACACTTGCTTTTATCCCGTGATAAATCATTGTTCATTGATTCCACATTGTTCAGGTAGAAGGTCTTATTTGCTGACGCTTCGGCAACCAGAGTTAAACTGGATGACGAAATGTTCCCATGCACTAACTGATGCCACGCCTGCCAAAAACGTCCAATTGGCCGTCTCGCCTAGTCGAGCTGATTTTGTA